GCGGTGCCCCCGTGACTAAGGACGGCTTCCGGCGCGGGCGGAGAGATCGGGGGCGGGTCGGAACAGGGCCAGTTCGCGTCGTGGCGTCCCCAGAGACGTGCGTCGGGGCACGCGTGCTGAACACCGCCTTTGTGGGAGGCCGCCATGCGGAAGGACGCAGCGTCAGGTACGTGCGCGAGGCAGGTGGAGTGTGAACGACCAGCATCCGTGCGCGACCTGGCCGGCAGATTCGGGAGATTTCGGCCATGTTGCTGCCTGAGATCGTCACTCACCCGTAAACGGAGCCGTGTCCTGGGCCGCGGCTATGTTGCGGGCTGTGGACGAGCTTTCCGGTCGTGATTAGCTAGGACCTTCCTGCATTATTTCAAAGGTGTTTTTAACTGGGATGGTTTTGCACATGAGGCAAATGTCCAAGTCATTCCTCTCATGTAAGGTCGGAGGCTGCTTGCGTTCTTGGTTTCGTGGGTTGAATAAACCTGTTCCAGTTATCTTCATACATGTCATGAGTGAAATCAACATACTAAATTCGCTCGCAGCAGTTATCTTCATTTAGAAAAGTAAGCCTGCTGTCGTGACTGTTCCGATCAGTTCGTCCGGGATCAAAGCTTGGCGGTGGCCGGCCAGGATGAGGTCTGGACCGCTTCGTGAGTGGGTCAGGTGGGTCGGGAAGCCTGCCCCCGCGGAGCCGACGCGGGAGGCCCGCCGCCGCGCGTCGCCAGCGCGGCTCGATCTGTGTCACTCGACGCCGAGGCACGGGCGCCGCTCGGACGAGCCGGTGCGTCACCTACCCGGCTGCCATATGGCCATCTGGCCGCCCGCCGGCTATCTCGGCCGCCCTGACCGAGTTCGGACCGCGGCGACCGAAATAGCGCGCGGCCGGTCCATGGTGACGCCCGCGGGAACGGCCGTGTGGCAACCACAGGGCCACGGTCAGGGCTGCGGACACCTGGGGGCTGTGTATTGGCGGCGCTTGGCCGTTCCACTGTTGAGTCACAATGACAATCGAACTATAAACATACCATGTTTCATCGAAATAATCGGCTATACTTGAGAAAAGAATGACCTTGGAAACGTTGTGCCATCGGAGGAGATACGTCAGACATATTTTTTCGTTAAGACTGCTGGGACGGCATTTGAACCACGTCGACTACGCCACCTCGTTCATCGCGGGCAGGCGCTCGATTGCGTGTTCTCAGTCCGGAGCATGAGGCATGATACCGTTCCGACACGATGCCAATCGCTCGCTCTCCCACGCGGGCGCCTTTCCAGCGCTGGCCGCGCGCTGCGCTGACCCGCCGCGCCGAGTCACGACTCGAGTCACGGCCCGAGTCACGAGCCTCGGTTGGCCGGGGTTTTCCGGGCTGGTCAGCGCTGGGAGGCCGCTGCAGCCGCCGCCGCAGCTCGGGGTGGCGCTCGCCACCCCGCCGCTCCGGAGGCGCGGCGTGCAAGGTGGCGCGCCGCTTCTGCCGCCAGTGCACCGCTCTTGCTGCTGTCGCGTCACCACGTGCCACTCGAGTGACGCCTTTTCCGGCGGCGCGTTAAGACGGATATGATGCGAACGATGCCTGATCAGACAGATGGCGTTGGATCCGACACCGACAGGCGCGTAGGGCATTTGCGGAAATGAATGATGGAGCTGAAACATTAGGACGCGGCAGGTGCCCGATGCGTGCAGTGTGGCCCATCCCGGGGGCGTTTGCTGGTCGCACCTTTAACGCCCGTGCTGTGTAGGGTTCCATGCTGGGTGTGGCCACCATCAGAGCACAATTTCTTGAGAGAATTGGACCTGGAACTTCACTCGTTGACCACCAAAAATAGCCACGTCCTGACTGAGAGCTTATGAATTATAGGGAGGAATTGGATTGGCTTCGCCCTGATATGCCATTTTATCGTCCGAAGTCTTAAAGCCAGCGGCGAGTTTCCCAACACGGTCCGGCAGTTCATCCGCAGAGGCGGACCTCATGCGAACGGTACACCCATTAGCTGACCGCACTTGGGACAATGGGCTTGTTGACTTGGTTTGCCGCCTTTATGGGACAACGTGCTGATCATACTTAATGTTGATTAACAACTAAAGGCCATGTAGAAAGGGTCCGGCCGGGCCGATCGCGGTAGTCGTGCTAGACTGTACTCACAGCGTCCATGGAACAAACTCACCGGCTCTAGAAATAAACGTAGCACACCAATATATATATATATATATATATATATATATATATCGCTCGCTCGCTCGCTCGCTCGCTCGCTCGCTCTCGCTCGCTCGCTCTCTCGCTCGCTCGCTCGCTCGCTCGCTCGCTCGCTCGCTCGCTCTCTCGCTCGCTCGCATCGCTCGCTAGCTCGCTCTCTTCGCTGCTAGCTCTCTTCTCTCTCTCTTATCTCTCTATCTCTCTATATCCCTGGTTGCGTTTTTTTGCCTGTTACGTTTGTCTTTTGAGCTAAAACAAAACTAACAGCACAGTATAAGCTAAGATGTAATCGACGCGCTGTGCTTTTGCTGACACCCAATTAGTTCCCGAGCGCCTAGCTGCGCGGGGTGACTCGAGAAAAGTCAGCGCGCCGTGCTGGCATTGATGCGGCAGCGAGCGGACGGCGCGCCGGCCCGCCCCGCCGGGCGCCGCCGCCCTCCGCCTGGGCGAACGGTGACCACTGGCGGGGTGGGCCGCCCGGGCCGCGCTGAGTCATCGGGCGGCCGGGGGCACGGCCGCCGAGGCGGTCACTGCCGCCCGGGTCACTGACGGACACCGCCACCCGGCACCGGTCACCGCCGCAGTGAAGGTCCGGGTGGCGGAGGCACGCCTGGTGCAGTCAACGGTAGCCGGTGTGTGATGCGTGGCTTG